TAATTTTAAAGCAAAGTCCTCTTATTTTCATTTTGCAGTGAGCAGCATAAATTATGTAGCCTGTACTGACTACAACAATGGTAACCATTTAGTTATCTTTCTGATTCTTAAGAATTCATAATTAACAACTTGATGCAGACCTGGGAATAGACAAAATCAAAGCTTGACCTGGGAGGGGAGAGTCCAGTACAGGGACCCGCCTCAGCACAGCTATTGCACTAGAACATCAGAGAGGGAATTAACCAGGATGGTAGGCTTTGCCTCCAGAGTAATGGGCTGAATGGGTGGAAAGGACATGAGGAAAATCTGACTGTTATATATTATTTCTGGTGCCAATATAGAATTTCAGGCCTTCACTCCCCTCTTGGTAAAAGGTCAGGTGTTCTATACTTAATACTTTTCCTGCATTTTCTCCTGTATATCCCTAGCCATTAGCACTGGCTGAACAGGTGCCAGTCTGTTAGAGGAGCTAATAGTGCCAATAGACCTTTTGCCCCAACAGCTTAGTCACCAAATGCCCTAGTGCGCAGCTCATTTTCGTCTGCACATTTTCTTCTGCATGCTCTGAGAGGAAGTCAAACTTTCCTAGAGTCAGGGGTCTCCTACTTACTTCTTCCCCTGCTCCTTTACCACTTCCAATTTACACTACAAGGCCCTTTTTGTCAGCCCTGCTAATCACACCAAATTCATTATGCCAGGTCAAGATCTATATTTGAAGATTGTTAAAAGGGACCCCTGGACTCAGCTTATATGGCTTTCATTTTTGTTTACTTCCAAATAGCAAAGAATTCCTACCAATGCTACATGAGATAAGAAGGCAGATGTATGGATGCTGTTCTTTAGGTCCTCTCTAATTCCTCCAGATGCTGAGTTATGATCATAAAAATTCCTGTTCAAAATGAAAAAACCACCCTTTGGAAGAACAAGGAAACTGTATGTTTGTAAACTTAGACTTAATATCTACCTCCTTCTATGAGGGGAATTCATTCTGCACCATCTTACACCATTGTTACATGCTCTGTGTTCCATTTTGTTTACATCAGTAGGGCCTCTGGCAGACCTGACTGTGGTCTGCCATATAAAACTGCTCCTTTGGACCTACATTTTCTCTTTAAGTGATCTCATTAGACAATATGGTTGTGACCCTGAGAGATGAATGAAAATATTATGTTTTAGCTGGGCATGGTGGTGCGTGCCTGTAATCCCAGCTACTCAAGAGGCTGAGGCAGGAGAATTGCCTGAACCCAGGAGGCAGAGGTTGCGGTGAGCTGAGATCGCACCATTGCACTCCAGCCTGGGTAATAAGAGCGAAACTCCATCTCAAAAATAAAATAAAATAAAATAAAAAACAAAAAAATACAAAAACTAGCTGGGCATGGTGGTGTGCGCCTGTAATCCCAGCTACTTGGAAGGCTGAGACAGGAGAATTGCTTGAACCAGGGAGGTGGAAGTTGCAGGAGAATTGCTTGAACTCTGGGAGGCAGAGCTGAGAGTGTGCCACTGCACTCTAGCCTGGTAACAGAGTGAGATTGTGTCTTAAAAAAGAAAAAAACAATTGGTAACAGAGTGAGACTGTGTCTTAAAAAAGAAAAAAACAATTTAGTTTTCTTTATCTGAAAACAAGGGCTATAGATAGTAGCTTCAGGAGTTCTTTCCTATAATAAAACAAAAAGTATGCAGATAGGCATGGCTTTTTAAATGAAAAGAGATAGATATATATTTATATTGAAATAAAATCAGGAAAAATTATAGTTTGACAGGTGGTATTGATTTTTTTTTCTATTATCCTCCATAGCCATGAACTGTAGTAAACATAACCTTGGCAATTGTAGGGTATAGTTGGAGGCTTTGGAGGAATAGAATATCATCAATTTATACTTAATAGTACCAACACCATATTCATTTTTTCCCCCAAATGTTTATTTGCTTTCCTTTACTTGTATTTTGACTACTCAAATAGATAATTTACATTTCTTGATGAAATTTGAAATATCATTTCAGAAAACTGTTGTATCAAATAATATACAACCAGGAATCAATATGAAAAAGGATTTTTGTCCATCACTAATTCTTACAAATAAAATAACAATTAAAATTATTAAATTTAAATCTTGACACAGTTCTTTACATATCCATGGATGTTTTATTTAATCCAAGTATCCTTTTCAGACATTTAAAATTATTTATATGAGTTTATGATCACACACGGGATGAATTTTGAGATTCAGAAATATCTTTTACTTAACATATTTTGTTTTTTAAAACCCTGTTCTAGGTCTACTTGTAGATTTTTTCCTCGTTAAGATTCAAATAGTGGTACTTAAAATAATGCTAACAATTACAACAGACCCAACCACAGACAATACCAGGGTAGAAATATTAACTCCAGAATGATGATTTTTATCAGGAATAGGAGTAGAATAATTTTTGTCAGGAATAGGAGAGTATAATTTTTGTCAGGAGTAGGAGTAGTATACTTTTCATCAGGATTTGCTTGGGGGATAAACAAAGCTACTTGTGCAATGCTGGAGACTTCTGATGTCAAATTGCTTTTATGTATACTTTTAATGGCAATAAATATGTGGGTTGCATTTTCTTCTGAGATATTTCCCGGTTTAAATGCAAAGATTTCCTTGGAGTTGGCCTCCTTTTGTGACAGATCAGTAGTATTTACTTGAAGAGCATCATCAAAACTGTCTCTTA